AAATGGAGTGAATATCGTAAAAAATTTTTTGTAAAATCCTCTTAGTTTCCGAGGAAAAAATTATTGAAGTTGTAGTACTTTCAAGAATCACATCACTGGACAACTGTAGTCTCTAGCGTCATTCGCAAACGCGTGGAAAGCCACGTGGCCTCAGCGACTCCGAATACTGAAATCCGATTTTACAATCGTCGTTGCGATAGTATTTACAATAGTTTTTTTGTAGTTAGTGTCAAAAATGGCTTGCGTGTATAACAACTCGGAGTTGATGGATAGTTTTTGTGAGTATTTTATTACACTTAGTCTTGTGTAAAGTCAGGTTTTACAGTTTCCATGCCATGCAGAATTGTATTTTTAAATCATTTTCGAACTGCCCTTTTGATTTTTTATTTAAAAAATTGTATTTGCACATCCATTTTTTTTTTGGATACATTTTTAATCACCCTGTATATTTGATTTATAATGATGAAAGTTGTAAGTTATTATAGTAATAATTAAAGACAAAAATTTATTGAATTAATATGCAATATGACAGGCTGGTATGGAGATATTGGCTGGCACTGCCACTAACAACACCAGATTTGCGATGCCACTATATAAATGTTTACGGAAATGAATAAGTAAAACGATGTAATTTCTATTGTTATTTATAAAAAATCTATCATTTAATATGAAAAAGGAACCAACTTCGTATTATTTTTTTAAATTTTGAAAAAACCTATCACACGGTTGAATAAATTTAAAATAGCTTTAAAATTATTGGCTTTACAAAAAAATTGTAGAAATTTTTTGTTTGCGTTTGAAGCGCAGTGTGGTAAAATGGTAAAAAATTATTGGTGTGGAAATTTTAATTTGTTTCGGGAGTAGTGTGATAAGCTTGTCAATCAAATTCACCTATCAAATTTCAAAAATACTGGATGGCATTAAAATTCTGATATTCTTAGTAACAATGCACTTCAGTACCTCGGTCGGCATATGTGCAAACTACTCAGCGAATATTTGTCTTTAATCAGGGAAATTATTGACTTATATTTCATCTGTCTTACCTCCATTGACTTTTAAGACTATTTGGTTTAAAACGATCCAAGAAATAACCTCCCGCTAAAATTTAACTGCTAGGCTGCTGTCTAATGTAAAGATTTTATTTGACACGTTTTTCTGCTCCTTGATTTTTGCAGATGAATTGCTTCCAAATTCCAGGTAGATCTAATTCCTGGCTTTGATTCAAATTATCTCGATTCTTCTGCGTTTCTATTGCCTCCCCACAAAGTCTTGGCTAATGTCTTCTTGCTCTCACTAAAATCTTGGTATTAGTTAGATCTACCAAGTGACCTGTATCTGCCCTGCGTTGCAAAACTGCTGAGCTTTCTACATTGTTGTTCTTCAAAAGTGCAAGAGTCAAGATAATTTCAATTGAAACAAGGGACTATTTGAAATTTGAAAATGACATCCTCAAAATTCAAGTACTGGAAAGACATGGGCTAATGACTACAGCCATTCACCGGAACATCATAGACTAGTGCACACAGCGAATACGAATACCAACCAGAGGACTTAATCTCCAGTTTCAGAGCCTCTTCTGAAGAAGAGAATCTTTTGAAACTTTAAGGACATGGCAACCAGCCTGGAAATTGTTCAACCACGTAATAGAAATTCTACCGTAAAAATTATTGCAAAAAAAATCCAAAATCTAGTAACAGTTTTGGACAGATTAGAAAACTATTTTTTTTATTTTTGAGTCAAGAACATTTTCACTTTTATAAAATCATAAGGATGTGAAATCTAATGACATTCTAATAATTTTACAGAAGTTGGAAACGATGATTGAATAATGAGAAAATTTTTTACTTAACTGTTTTTTGACTTCTAACAAACCATCCAATAAAATTCAAATGTTTATCATATAAAAAAAATGGTCTGTATAAAAAGACAATATATATTCAACAAAATGTATAAAGCATACTTTTATATGGAACACTTTAGTCAATTTATAATTTAAAATCACAAATACCACAATTACTTAAAATTTTGCACTATAGGATACAAAGCTAGCCCTTCTTTAAATTTATTAATATCGTTTATAAAATAATCTTTTGCCTTACTTTCTTTCTCACTTATTTCTTCTGAACCTAACATATTAAATGCGTACTTGGTGGACATAGCTGAGTCTGGAACAAAACATTATTAGAAACATAACGATTTGCATCATTAAACTAACCTCCGAATTCTTTACCTGTAATATCTCTTTTGGCACGTTTCTGATCCACATTTTTATCATTACCAACAACCTAAGAAGAAAATAATATCTTATTTAGTTAAGTATCAGCAACAAAACATAAATCTATACCAGAGTTCCATAATAGGTAGTAAGTCTCGTAAATAAATCAATTAAAATTTTTACAAATTTTGATAAAACTTTGCGTGTTCTTCCACGGACATTGTACTGTGCGCCATTTATTTCCGATAATAAATCCATGTGTGCAACCTACTCGTGAACACTTGGAATATTTATTTATTGCGTTCAAAAAGAGAGACGATCAGTGCTGCATAATTTAATTTCTCGATGTATCAATTTCTAGCTTAGATGTTTCGTTTCAGACTGTGGAAGGTGAAAAATTGGACCGCCAAACATTTTTTTGAAAGTATAATTACTCAAATTATGCAAAAAATATTTTTCTGTAGATAACAATACATTTGAGTACCATCCTTATCATTTTTTAACGGTTAATAGGTTAGCTAAAATAAACTGGCTCAAGACCGCAAATGTAATTTCTTCCGTTGATTTTTGAATACAAATATTCCTATCTATTGTATTTCCTATTATTTTGTGAGTGCAAATTAAAATAAAAAATTAGTAAGGATTACACTCATGATGTCCAGATGCTTTCAACAACCCTTAAATTGTTAAGCAATGATCTTCATCATGGTAAGTTTAATATATTTTGAAAAATACAGGGTGGCTAAAAAATTGCGTTACAAACTAGTAAAACGTCAAAATAAGGGATACAGGAACACTCTCTCTAATATGTGGAGTTGGAGCCACTTCACAGATAAATTAAATTTTTTTTTTATTTTACCACAGCTGTTAACAAAATTCATATTTAAGGATAAATAGAAGCTTCATTAGATACTTTTAGGCCTTAACTCAGAGCATTGATAATAATTGATAATATAGTTACCATAGTTACTAGGTTCTGCCATAGTGAGGCATGTTCAACTTTGTTGAAATAAAATTCATACATGTTTCTAGATTGCACTTTTTTGGCAAAGTTGAGGTTTTTCATCACAATTTGTTTATTTTCAACTTTTTCTAAATTCTACTTGAAAATTCGACAATTTTGGACAACTTTAAATAAAAAAGATTCTCTTTTAGGGTATAAATAAATGTACAAGGCACATCCACAAAGTAAGTGTACTCAATATTTTAAAAATTGAAATGGCAGTATACAGGGTGTCTGCAAATATCACTGACAATGTTTGACTGCATATTCAGGACGATAAATAAATACGATCTACAAAAAAAAGTTAAATAAAAACTTTTTGGTTTTTGAATTACGGGCCTTCAAAATTGTCAAAAATAAAACTAATTTGATTAATAACCCTTTTACTAATCACGTTAAAATTTGTGGCGTATTATTTCTTAAAACTTTAGTCAAATCGATATACTGGTTGATAGTTTTTTCTGATTACCTCTCCCTTTTAGCGGTCAAAACTTTTACAGTGGTCGTATTTTTTTAAAACTTGCAGCAACATTGTAAAGGTCATTTCATTTAAAAAAATTATTGTCCCTTGAGAAAATCGCCTACAGAAAGCCATTGTTGAGAAAAGTGGCATTAATTGCAGGTCTGTGCGTTTCCTTTTGCGTAGCAGTGTCACGGATTTAATACTATGAGTTCAGTAGGCGATGAAAACAAGATGTTGATTGCTGTGGCTAACAGGAAATGTCATTATTGTCGTGTTTCTTTAGGATTCTCATCACTCCACACAAGCAAATTATGAAGTGTCCGCAGTGCACCAAGACAATTAAATGTAGCTAAAACTAATGTTTACAAAACATTAAAAAAGCAACTTCCTCGGAGATTTCATTTAATTCCTGATCAAGAACTTGAAAATTTAGATCCCAACGCATATTTCCAATTTTGCCACTGGTTGGTGAATGGCTTTGCAGAAGATAATAATTTGCTTCAAAAATAGTTTTGTACCGATAAACCTTGTTTTACAACGGGAGTTTTTTTTCTGGACCTCGTTAAAAATTTTCAAAAGTATCCGGACTCCACCTAAAATTATTTGCCGACCCCTGGTCTAGTTCTTTAACAAAATTGTCTGTTAGAAGTATTTATCGTGCATGCAAAGATGTAAAAAAATCGAAAGCTAGAAAAAATTGAAACAGACGCCGTTAAATATGTGATCCCTAGGAAAATGCATGTATTTTATTTTAAAGATGAACTTCCAAAATTAATTCAAACTGCAATCGTAGCAGTCGAAGATTCGCTCAAGAGAAATGGGTTATTGTCTGAAAGAGTTTTACTGTGATATGAATGAAATTGACATTTTAGTTGAACTAGCATAGTATTGATGTAAGACAAATTATTTTTCCGATACTTCTTATGGGAAAGTTTCATTAAAAATGCCACCAATAACTGGATGGAAAGATTTTTTCCAAATAAATCACTGGCATGGATATCTACAATCTAGCACAATCTAGTTCCATATGCCTGCAACAATATGTAGAAGAGATTTTATTTTATTTGAAATATACCACAGAACATGTTTTCTTATGATATGAATATAACAAAAAAGGTGTGTTAAGAATATGTCAAAATCAGATATTGAGAATGAAACTGAAGATATTACAAGTGAGAAGGCGGAAACAGAGATAGTGCTACAGATGATTTAGTGGAAGACGAAGTTAATCGTTACTAATAATAGGCTTGCATTGGTTCTGTCAGCAGAAAGTCCTAAAACAATTCATAATAATTAAGTTATTGTCAGTATGTACTGACTTAGATGTTCTTTTGAATCGAATGATCAACTAATTTGAACCATCCTAGAACCGTTCTCTGTCGGAACCAAAACACACCTAATCAATCCGGTAAATATTTTAATGAAATTAAAAAATGATAAATTTTAAGAGGAGATACAAGTATTACATGAATAATACATTTGCTATTTTTTGGAAAACTCTCAGTATGACCAATCTAAAAAAGATATAAACATTTTTCTATGGACAGTTTTCGAAGATAGCAGCAACAGTAAAGAATGGCGGATATTTGAAAGTATTGGATGCAATCAGTTATAGAGACCATTACGGAACATCTAAAAGGATCATCATTATCTAAGTAGTTCCGTTCGCAGCGACATAGAACCAACAATAAGAATCGAAATAAACATTAGGGAAGGTCTGATAGCAGGTCTGACCCCACAGAGCCTAGCCCGAGAACAAAACGGGCATCAAAGATTCCAACCTAATGCTGAGAAAGTGTAATGTAAGTCTGTCTGTGAGTGGTGATGATAATAATAATAATAATAATTTCTCTGAAGTAATACATCCATGGAATTGTATTCTATGCACACCTTGCCTGTCGCACAGATCGACATGTTGAAAATGAGTCACGGCCTGCAATTTTGGAACACTAGCATATAAAAGTACAAACAAAATTTACCTGAATACTCAATTTTTTGTAGTTCTCTTGATTTCCAAAAATGTTGTGCTTATCCCACCATTCTCTGATTTCTTCAATTTTGATATCACCTATAGCCTCAACTTCTTGCTTTAATTTGTCAAACAGGTAATCATCGGTAACAATCTCTGACCAATTACGATTCATCTCCTCTTTTAAATGTACATCTGCACATTGTTTTGTCTTGATTAAATCGCCCTTGGTCTGATTTAGTTGCTCTTTTGAAATATCCGATAATAATTTCTTAGTGTGTTTCAAAAATGCCTCTATCCGTTCGTCCACATAAGACGTAGTAAACTTGGTGGCTTGAGCATTGACTGTAATAGTGTAGCCTAAAACTCCAAATGTATCTCTTATCGAACAGTACACACTATACCCCAGTTGTTCTTTGGTACGCAGTATGTCGAAGAGTGGTTCTTCAATAATTAGCTAAAAATTTTTATTCCTAAATTTAAAGTTATTTCACAATAGTTTGACAAATCAGGGCACCCATGCTATTCTAATCTAATCTATTCCATGATCCTGTTTCAGTGATTCTCCACCTATGGCAGCACACTACTGGACTTTTGAAAAATACATATGCCAGCTGCTTAAATCATTAAATTGATGTTATTTAAAAATTATTGTAACGATTAAATATCTAGTTAAACAATTTCCAGATTTGTTGCCATGACATGGGCTTATACTGCTTGTTTTGAGACATCATTTTCTTCTTCAGAAATGCTGATACTGGAAATTAAGTCATTTGGCTGATATTTATATTGGCTGAATGCACTTATTCAGAGCATTTCGGTGCATGGCTGCAGTCACTGATTTGTGGCATTCCAGTTCTGATTTTTGCAGATGCAAATTTCAAGTAGTTTCATCCCCTCATCTTGATTGAAATTATTTCGATTCTTTTGGATTTTTATTGCTTCCCTGTAGAGTCTTAGTCAAAATCTCTCTCTCTCACCAAAAGTCTGGTATTAATTCATCTATTGTATGTTCAGTATTTGTCTTGTGCTCTGCAACTGCTGATATTTTCACATTGTTATTCTTCATGCGACACTTTGCTCCTTTAACCTCGTGCCAACCTGTTCTCCCGTCTGTCCAAAGCATACTTTTCCGCATGTACTTGGAATACATTTGGTGTACATGCAGAAAAGTATACATTTGGCAGGATGACATAGTATTACGAGGTTAAACGAGTGTCACATGAAGAACAATGTAGAAAAATCTGTGGTTGCAGAGAAAAGAGCCGATACAGTACACAAAATAAATCTAGTTAATACCAGAGTTCTCTTGAGAAAAAATTTTGTCCGAAACTCTTTGAGGAAACAAAAATTCAAAAGAATTAAATTAATTTCAGTTGAGATGAGGTTCCCACTATCTGGAATTTAGACATTACTCATTTGCAAAAATCAAGAAGCAGAGTGACACAGCCAGTATAAATACCAGCCAGGAGACTTAATCTAGAGTTTCAGAGATTCTTCCGACATCTTAATCCTACAATATAAGATGGCATCGCCTAAATGTCAATATTATTGTAGCAGTTTAGTAGACACTGACATTGTTGTGCAAAAAATGAACCAGTTTATGACGTTTGTGTCCCAAAAAAGATGGTTAATAAATTTTAATCACGTTGTGAACATAAATTATAAATTTCACGTTTGTCACTAGTCGTGCTACGCATTCGAAAACAGTTAATGACAGATAGATATTTCAAGTTCTATTTTAAAGTTTAAAATTACGTAACAGTAATACACGCTAAAAATGATATGTAAATAAAGACACACCACTTCAACAGATATTTGACATTTGTCATAATTTCTAAGAACTGTCAATTTAATATTATCAACAATTGATTCATCTGTCAAAAATCCTGTGGTGTGCCGCCACGCCACAGATTACTGAAACAAAGCAATGGGGCACACCAGAAATAGCACAAGTGTTTCGATTTAATAGTCAATGAACAGATTAATATTACAAAGACAATCCGATTTAAATGATCTTAATCTCACCCACCATAATTATTTCAATAATAACGCTATTTCTAATTGAAAATGGACCCGACTGGTAATAGTTTGTTATTATAGAGTTGGCATCATTTTTATTGAACCCTTGTATTCTGCAACACTTTTCACCATTTGGAATTTGAACCACTTTGAACTAAAACATAGACAGATGTATGTTTGAAATGTTCTGAGAATGTAAAGGCTTACCTTCGGATAAGAGTTTTCAGGAAGCTGCTCGAATTGTAGTGCTTTTACAAATTTGTCGATAGTTTCAGATGCAACTTGGGCAGACACGTTTCCCTGAACTAACGTTTTAACGTAGAGAGATTTCATATATTCTCTATAGAACTGCTTCACTTGTTCTAAAGTGACATTTACTATCGCTGAATGTTTATCAACTGGTGTCCAACTATTGGATACCAAGAGTTTCAGTCTTACATCCCTAAAAATTTAGGTTCATATTAGGGTGTAATAGATAGTCGTTTTACTTACTTTGATAGTGTGGACGGTTTTATAAGTTTGTTGTAATAACTTTTGACTACTTTGTCTTTTACCGCACTAAACATTTCTTCTGTTAGGTGATCATTAAGGGTAACTAAATATTTTGAAATTACTTCAATGACAAGCTAAAATACATAAAAATAAATATTCACTGCAAAATCCAAATTTGTTGTGATTGTGATAAAACATATTAATAATTAAAATATTTTATAATTTATTTATTGAGTAAGAAAAACAAATTAAATAAACCAATATTTCTTATTAAGAGGGGAAACCACATGAGGTTAAAAAAATCGAATTTTTTTATTGCATAATTTGTCAGCATAACTAATATCCTGCCAAAATTTCAAAACGAAATTTGTAGTCGTTTTGATTTTATGAGCCTACAACCGAACGCCCATCAGGTCACCGCTCGGGCACACAGCAGGCAGGGCGGAGAGCTTGTTCAGGTAGTGACTTATTGAACAAGAAAAGAACAGATGCAAGCTCAGGATGATGCCTGCCTATGAGAAAGAAGAAGGACTATTCAGTGGCGGCTCATGAAGGAGAACTCTGGGACTCCCCCCCCCCAGATATTTTCAAAATGTAATCTTAAAATAATTTATTTACTTAAATCAATAAAAAATCTTAATAACATGCATTCAATATGCCTTGGATGGTTGGTTGGTTGCATAAAGTGCATGCACTCCGTGAACATGGCTCAGTTTAATGCCATCTGTCATCTATAATCGTACCATCCATCCACTCCATCACAGACGCTGAAATCTGAGGCCATCGTGCAAGCATATTTCTACATATCATCTACATCTACATGTGACAAATTGGCACAGGGAGGTGATAGATAACCACAGGCTCACATGCTTTGTTTCAAACTCTATGTGGCAGTAACCCGTTTCACTGAAGTGTGGTTATATGTGTTTTGTTCAAAATGCGCCCATGCCCTGTAGTCAAACGCACGCACGATCGTACAAAAAAACACTTGTAGCATGTCCACATATTCATCATTAGTAAAATTTGGCATAATTCTTGTTAATTTACACCCAAAAAGTATTTAGCTGATAACAGTGACAACTTACAGAAGAGTTAATTGTGACAACTGGCATGACAGCAGTACACTTAGTTTTTCTTTGATTGATTGCAATCATATACAGTGTGAGGTGAATGGTAATACATTATATTTTTTTATTAATAAACGAAAAGTTTTAAAGGAAAATTGCTAGAGAGGTAAAAGTTTCTAAAAGAACCAGTTTATCTAATGCGTATTTTTGGATATCGAGTTTTTACGAAATATAAAAGTTATGGCAAAAAATGGCTTGAGGGGTGGTTATTTCAACCCCTTTCGAGGGATTAAAATTTTCGAAAAATAGTTGAAAACTCGCATCTGTATTAGTGAACAACCTGTAAAAAATTTGTTATTTGTACCTCGTTCGGTTTTCAAATTACAGCCAATTTTCATAATTTTTTTGGAAACTTTGATGGCCCAGATCTCTTCAGGGGTGAACTAAGGCGATTTTTTGCAGATCATGTTCTTTTGAAATGTAAATTCACTGGTATCATTTATGCTAATCCATTCAAAAACACCCTGTATATTACTGGTAACTTTCTCAAATTTATAGTTTTTGGAAATTTTCAAATGTGTTATTCTCAAAATGACATTTTTTTTATTCTACTTCAAAAAGTTATGAACCGATCCTTACGAAAATTGAAAGTGTGTTTTTTTATGAAATTATAAAGAACATGAACCAACAATTGGGATGATATCGTAATTTTTAGGGTTTTTTTATTCTATATAAGTGAAAAAAAAATGGGACTCAATCGTTTATAAAGGCACTGTACTACTTACTGGTAGTTTTTCATTATAACCTGACACTTTTATCATAAGTCCTTTTTCATGCACTGAAAAACTGTAGGATAGGTCGGCGGCAGTTGCTGGGTACAGTTCTTCAGTTATGGCAATGACAAACATATTTAGGATAATATCTAACATTGCAGAACTAAAAAAAATTACAAAGTTTAAACTTATCAAATAAAATAAAATAAAAAATATATACTTTTTAGGTGATTCTATCGCTGAAGGACTAATTAGGTAAAAGTAGTAATAAGCAAGTGGCAATTTAAATTTCTGATCTTTCCTGTACCACATCTCCAGTAAAGGTGTACTTATAATTTTTTTAGGATATTCTGGATTATTTTCTATTTCTGGCAAGATGGAGAAATTTTTTGTTAAGTACGGATTAGGAGGTGGCATGTCCATTTCAGGATAAGGCTTAACAGATTTCCATCTTTCTATCCAAGATTCGGGAATATCTGTAATAATGAATTAAAATTACCTGTGTATTTCTTTTTATGAAAATAATACAATTTTACCTATATTAGTATATTTAGTGCCAAACCATGGTTCTATTTTATCAAATTTTAAACCATTAGGTAATGTTTTTGATAATACTCTAATATTCACTTTTTCAGGGTTGAGGTGGTCCACTATCGTTTGAATATCCTTCAAGTAAATAATATATAGTCCAATTAAAAAATTTAAATCGTAATTTTGGTCAACTTGCCTGAATTTTTTATATAAGTTAGTTTGAGATATACCGGGTATCCTGAAATTAATGCAACAAAATGTGCTCACACTGGTCACAGGTTGTTAAGACAAATTTAGGGGACCCGTATTTTTTATTTTTGCCAAGTGGTCCCCTCTTTTAGAGTTACAGCTACCTGAAATCCGCCCCTAAGAATAGTCTTTTTTTATATCTCCGGACACTATTATACGAGAATCACTAAATTTGGTTTCACGACATGTGGAAAATGATAGTGCTACACTTTTTGGCAGAGAACCCCCTTCAGACACACTCAAAAAATTTGGTTGCATATTTGAATTTCTTAAAAATTATTGATCCGCTAAAAAGCCATTGAATTTAGAAAATTTTTTGTCACTTAATTTTTTTCATAAAACGCAATGTTTTCGAGAAAAATGGCAAAATCAGATCAAATGCATATCATGATTCGTATGAAATTCTACATGTTAATTGTAGGTGGCTAGCGATGCATTCGATCACATTTTACCATTTTTCTCGAAAGCATTACGTTTTACGAAAAAAATATCAAGAGACAAAAAAGTTTCTAAATTCTATGGCTTTTTAAATATGCGACCAAATTTTTTTGGCTCCAATGACAAGGGGGCTCACGAAAAAGCATCTTAAGGGGATTTCTTGCCAAAAAGCATAGCACTATCATTTTCCACATCATGAAACCCCTGTACGAGCCCTAACAACTTAATGTTCGGACAAAATGTAGTTTAAAAATAAAACAGCTATGTAAAATACATATTTTACAATTACATTTAAATACATTACATTTAAATACAATTTTATTTTATATAGTGAAACCACTTATGATCAGTATAATTGGTAATTATCTTTCAAAATATGTAAATTATGTGGCAATATGCTACAAAAGAAGTGTTCTTCATCGTCTTGTAAGTTAACACCAACAAAAATACCAATTTATTCTGACAACTTAATGTTCGGACATTTAAAGTTGACGGACGTTTAGGAATGTATAAAAACGATATGTTGTGTTATTTTGCTAAGTAGGTGGTGCTTAAACGTAAAAACAAGTAACGCATATTGTTATTCATCTTATTGCTGTCGACANGACGTCGTTTGTTAACAGCCTATTAAGAAGGAAATATCTTGAATTTAATTGAAGGAAACTCATTGGCAATATCGATTCCCGATTAACTGTTGGGTTAGATGGCATAATTGGACCACATTTCTTGCTCCCTGATCTAAACACAGAAATTTACCTATCTCATGGAAAATAATTGTTTCAAATTGTTTTTGTGAAGTTTTTATTAACAATTCGGCTTTTAACATTAAATTTAATTAGAATTTCATACCAATACGCGATGCATTCGATCACATTTTACCATTTTTCTCGAAAGCATTACGTTTTACGAAAAAAATATCAAGAGACAAAAAAGTTTCTAAATTCTATGGCTTTTTAAATATGCGACCAAATTTTTTTGGCTCCAATGACAAGGGGGCTCACGAAAAAGCATCTTAAGGGGATTTCTTGCCAAAAAGCATAGCACTATCATTTTCGACATCATGAAACCCCTGTATACCAAATTTTGTGATTCTCGTACATCAGGGTATCGAGATAAAAAAGACCATTCTTAGGGGCAGATTTCAGGTGACTGTAACTCCAAAAGGGGGGCCACTTGGCAGAAATAAAAAAATATGGGTCAATAAATTTATCTTAAGAATATGTGACCAAATTTTATTGCATTAATTTTGGGAGACCCGATATAATAACCAACCTCCGGTCACAGGTAAAAAAAATACAATTTATTTTCAAGATCTCCCAAAGGGAGTAGAAAATTAAATTACATACTTAAAAATGATTTACAGACTTTTCTTCTATTAAATTAAAATCAAAAGGGTTGGGGAGGCTAGAAATTAAGGGATGATACAAGAAATTTTAAAAAATCATAACAAGCAGAAAAATTAATGAATTTCTAGTATTTCTTTCTCTAAACTAAACAATATAAACTTTCTTTTCAGAGAAATAGATGATTTTTTCTTTAATTTTTAATAAAAATGTTATAATTTTGTAATTATCATTTTTAATGATTTACAATACAAAATGAATTTTTTTCTATGCCATTTGATTCATTATTTAAGGAGGTTTGATCCCGAAAAGAAAATGATAAGAAAGTTTTCAAAGCAATTGAAATCTATTAATAAATATGCAAACTGCCTCGTGTAAAAATCTCAGATCAATTGCCAACGTAGTTTTTTTAAAAAGTGATATTAAAAATTATGCTTTTATACACAGACCATTATGGGAGGCGAAAAATTTTTGTTCAAACGTGAATATTGCTCTTAAAAATGGTTAGGATCGGAAAAATGATATTGTAACTAAATAATTAAATATTACTAAACATTTTAAAATAATAAAAATATGCACGCACAATGTAATTATTGAGTTAATGGAATGAATAGATAACGTTTTGACAAATTTAAACTAACATCTGATCCGATGAAAGGAAATATGGCAACGCTATACGCTGTATTTAACGCTTCGACTGATGTTCTATATTTGAATAGCTCGATTATAAACTATAAAATTATTCTAGTCGCAAACATACGTAGTAATAACTAATATTAAATAAATTTTTCGTGATTTCATGCAATATACCTAAATAGCAATTTGAAACAAAAATTGAAAGGATCTCTTTGCAAAACGAACAGTATAGATGTTCTGTCATAATCTTCAATTTGACAAGGCGATGTCTCACTACCATACACTGACCTTCAGTGTTGGGCAAAATTAAATTGTTGGACAATTAAAAATTAACAATTAATTAATTGTTCATCACACCGATTAGAATTAAAAATGAATTAATTGCAATTGTAAAAACTCGCGATTAGCAACTAATTAATTGTTAGTAGTGAGTTTCCACAACTAACGATTAATCAATTGTCAATCTTTTTAAAGTATTTGATTAAAAACTAATAATTAAAAAACTTACTATTGTATGAAAAGCATAGTGGGACCAAAACAAAAGTGTAATGTAAGTTATGAATAAAATATGTACGAATGTAACAAATAAAGGGCTGCTATTTTTCTTTTTATTAATTTTAATTAAACTTAATATCAGATTAGATGATAAGTTTAATTATGACAATAATTTCTTAAGCAATTTTGTGAATAATTTGTTAATTTAAGTTATTTTTTACAAACACTTATCAATTTAAGTTTAATATTGACAATCACATTTTAGTAATCATTTTTATATAAATATTTCTATACAAATATCTGTTCACATAAAATTTAAGTGCTTGTCTGTATCGAGGCAGGATAACTGTTAGTTTTAATTGTTTTTAGAACAATTGAAAAAGTTAATTATAATTGATTATAATTGCAAGATACAATTAAGGTAGTTCAGTCAATAAGAGAGTGACAGATAGTGCTGCGCGACAAAGAGAGGGCGAGACCGTTGAACATGTGTGTGTGTGTGGATTAGAAGTATCGGCAATGTCGCATCGTGACCGTCATTGCACAGTGCACGCCAGCTGCTGCGGTGGAATTTTATAACCTATAATATAGNTTTTCCTTGCCTGTTCGTCAACTTATTTACCGTTTTGTCAGTATTCTGATCAGTATCCTTTCCTAGTTTTTGGATTCACTAACTCTAGTGTTTCTCTCGCCTTATTCCATCTCCACTCCTCTCCATCAATTATAATCTTACTATACCCAATTTTAACGTTCTTTCCTTTTTTCTTCTCTTCTATTGCCCTCTTTCTTATTTGCTTCTCTTTTTCCTGCTCTTTCTTGGTCATAATATCTTCATTGATAAAAAAACTAATAATTAAAAAACTTATTATTGTATGAAAAGCATAGTGGGACCAAAACAAAAGTGTAATGTAAGTTATGAATAAAATATGTAGGAATGTAACAAATAAAGGGCTGCTATTTTTCTTTTTATTAATTTTAATTAAATTTAATATCAGATTAGATGATAAGTTTAATTATGACAATAATTTCTTAAGCAATTTTGTGAATAATTTGTTAATTTAAGTTATTTTTTACAAACACTTATCAATTTAAGTTTAATATTGACAATCACATTTTAGTAATCATTTTTATATAAATATTTCTATACAAATATCTGTTCACATAAAATTTAAGTGCTTGTCTGTATCGAGGCAGGATAACTGTTAGTTTTAATTGTTTTTAGAACAATTGAAAAAGTTAATTATAATTGATTATAATTGCAAGATACAATTAAGGTAGTTCAGTCAATAAGAGAGTGACAGATAGTGCTGCGCGACAAAGAGAGGGCGAGACCGTTGAACATGTGTGTGTGTGTGGATTAGAAGTATCGGCAATGTCGCATCGTGACCGTCATTGCACAGTGCACGCCAGCTGCTGCGGTGGAATTTTATAACCTATAATATAGTTTTAAGTTTTGACAATAAACAAATTCACAATGTCAGATAGACTAAGGAAGGATCAGTTCATTAGTGAAAAAGAGTTGAATAAAAAGTTGAAACAGTGTGCTGGTTTGAAAAGAGCTTGTGAAAAATCAAGAGAATCAAATAATAGCAATGAAAGAAGTGCAAAATTAAGATGCATAGAAAATATAACAAATTATTTATATAAATTATGATGATCTTGAGTATTATGTTTTGAGTTTGAATGTTACAATGTTTAAAATCATTATTCATGTATCTCAAATAAATTATATTTTATAAACTACACAATGAAAAAATCGTTTTTTATACCAAGATTGTTTTATTCTTTACATTACTCTTCGTTAAATAAGTATCAAATATTTCGTAATTCATTTAAAAGTCCAGTGTACTTCTACAATTCCTGTCAGATAAGAATTCTTTAATATTACCAAACCTCCAAGCATCAACTTTCACGCTCATTTTTCCTCAATTTAGTCAGTGTGACGTTGCCACATTGACCCATTCAAGCAAACTTATTCATTATTCAGGTTTTAAAAAATTAATTACTCTCATACTAAATGGTCAATCACAATTTGTTTTGTACCGAAAAAATAAAAAAAAAAAATTCTACGCATACAAAAATTTGTGCATAAGGTAAATGGTCAATCGATTTAAAATTTAAATATGTAATTCAGAACTGCTTCAACACGTTGACTGCGACATAATCTCAATGTACTTTGTCCGTGACTGCGATACATATCTTCGGGGATATGTAACAAAACTTCTTCTGTATGCGGTACATATCCCTGGGGATATGTATTTTTTTTACATTTGACCTCTATAAAATTAAAAATAACACAATTATTGCTATAAACTTGCATGTATCTGTAACTATATATCCTAGGATACTAACGTTTTCATTCGCAAAGAGTTTTGAGAAGAAAGAAATAGAAAAATTATTATTTCTAACTACAAAACTAAAAACTACAGATTCTGCAACTTTCACAAGATACAGTAAAAATGTGATTATTGAGATTCGCATATTTTTTATAATGAGTACATACCCCCCGAGGTATGTACCGCAGTCAACGTGTTAACTATTGATCTAAAAATTTGCGTATGTGTCTTAAGCCTAGATTTTATTCAAAGGAACTACCTTAATATAGATAAACCCAAATAAATTAATTACAACTTGCAATTAATAGTTCAATTGCAATTAATTTTACCTCCAATAAATTAATTGCAATTATTTTCTTAATCAATTAATAAATTGATTGAAAATTTAATTGTTTAATGCCCAACACTGCTGAGCTTCTTGATAGTTATCATATGGATTCTCGGTTTGCACATTTTACTTTTTTTTCATCAATCCCCATATTATCTGTTTCATACGCCTTTTATATTATTTTTCAGTTATTACTTTTCCATTGTATCTTGGATGTTCATTCATGTTTACGGTATACGATACGCGCTAAGCACAGTTGACAGTTGATCACTACGCCATACTGATGTGCAATGTTGTCAGATTTCACCCATAGATTTACAAGCTCTTAATGACACTTTTATTCAAATAAAAAGTTAATTGCTGTGCATTAATCACGAAAAATATATGCGAGCTAACATGTGTTGTATAAATTTCATTCGCATATATTATATTTAGTTCGCTCAAATTAGTTTATGTAAGGTTGGTACTTCAATGAAACTCCCGCATATAAGCATAAGCTTCCCTCCCACACCGCCTGCCCGTCAAAAAAGATCTATCGAACCTCCTTAAAATAATGAAAACTTGCTTTCGAATTTTTTTTTACCATCGACTTTGAAATTTAGATGTGACGCATGTGCAGTGATACAGGTAACACTGTAATGTGTGTGACCATAGCGAACGTAATAATCTATCTTTGTCATAAGCATAAGAGTTGTCCAGGATTTCTGTACCATTAGTGTGACAATAGTGAACATAATTTTTTATCTTTTTTGTGCCAATATCATAGGAGCTAAATAAAATTCAAAGATTTTTGCACTTACCTGAACATCACAGGAAAAAAAAAATTCAAAAACAAATTGTTTTAGTGTTGTTTAAAACTGACAATTAAAAAATTAAAATTGTTATAACTTTTTTATTAAAAATTTAAGAAAACCTATTTCCCTGAAAAAAAAAAATTATATTTTTAGAGTAAATTGAAAAAAAAAACTAGAAATATTCATATCTCATATCATCCCTTAACGTCTAACCTCCTCTGTTAATTTTAATAGTAGTAGAAAAAGTCAATTGATCACTTTTATGTAAAATTTTATACTCTACAACTTCTTTTAGCTTTAAGTTATCTTGAAAAAACACATTATTTTATTTTCCAAGTTGACCAAAACTGTGATTTAAAGGCCCACTTAATTTTACTAATATTAAAGTTCAAAACAATTTGTTACATACCTTAGGACTGTATTCATAATAAAGTTCCGAACCAGCAATATAGTCTTCAGGCGGGTAAAACTGCATAGCTTCACATAAATCTTCAACTATATCCACAGCATTTTCTTCTGTGGAAAACTTGAATGATGTATCGGCAATCGTCTTTATCTCATCAAAAATCCTTGCTTGCGGTCCCATCTCTTTCAACATGTTTATATAACTAAATATAGCTTCTATGACCTAAAATTAAATGATCAAAGAAATCACACCAATGTTTTTATAAAAATACAACACGTTTAATTAACCTACTTCATATACATGTGCGAATCCATCCTCTGTTAAAACTATTGTCACTGTAAAAAGGCAATACATGGAATTATACTCTAACCCTGTTTCTCCGTTACCAATTGATGTAGCTAAACCCCAAATTCTAAAATCAGAAATGAAAATTTATTGTTGCAGTACTAATTTTTAATCAATCCTTCACTTTTGTTTTAGGTAGGCCAGTAAGCTTCCTTTTCCTTCATCTCCTATCAAATGAGCCACGTAGTTGTGTGGTTTGGTCTTATATTTGTCTTGAAGACAGGGTAAGCTCCAAGTCAAATCAAGCTGAAAATATATCTTGCGAGTTTAAGAAATACAGTTTTTACAATTTTACAATTGCTCTCATATTTTTTACGTTATTTTAAAGACATTAAGCTAATTCAAATAAATTAAAAAATTGTCATGAAAAATCCCATCAAATGAAGTTGAATAATGTTCTTTGATACCAAAGATCTGTGTATGTAGTATATAAGACTGATGATATTGCGGAGAACAACTACTCTATGGACTACATTCTCCAACTAGATTTCTGGTATCAAAGAACATTTGATATTTGATAATATTTGATTGTGAAAATTTTATAGATTTTTTTTTTAAATAAAATCAAAACTTTTTACCGATTGAAAATATAAAATTATAAGTCAAATCATCTAGATCAGGGGTCGGCAACCTATGACCCGCGGGTCACCGAGTGACCCATTTACTAATTTCAAGTGACTTTATTTCCTAAAAAAGTATAATATATAAAAATAAATTATAAAATAAACATGAAACGAATATTTTGAGAATAAAAAAAAATTTAAAATAGATGCTTTGTTTTTGCGCGCACGTCAATCTTGAAATAACCTCTTTTTTGCTTTTTGTTTGTTCCTGGCAATATATTTTTTTAAATAATAATAATTATTTCACTTAGGTAACTGCTAAATGTTTCTTTTTATAATAATTAGAATTTTATTAGTTTTTATAATAATAATTAGTTTAAAAGCGTATCATAATTATTTTCTTAATAAAATGTATCTTATTATTCACTAAAAGACTGTTTTAAAATGAAAATATCACTGACCCAAACATCCATTTAATATTCACACTGTGGTTGATTTTAACCCGCAGCCAAAAAAGGTTGCCGACCCCTGATCTAGATAATCAATTGGTGATAAAATATATGGGGCATTCCATGCCAAATCGACCACTTTTAAATCTGATCCCTTTCGATTTGGTTGAAAATTTTTTATTGCTTTCTACCCCATTGAGAACCTCTGAGAATTTTTTCAAATTTTTTCACTAACAATAGTTATGAATTTTTGAAAAAAATAGCTTTCTTTTTTAAATAACCATAATTTTTTCAAAAATTGAGTTATCGGGACATTTTCTCAAAATTTTTGTTTTTAAATGTACTTTTTGAAAAAAATATAGATGAAAATTATCTGGACCTATCCATTTTTTTTTTCAATTTTCGAAAAAAAAATTTTTATAAAAAAATTTGACATTTTATGAATCCTCAAATTTTTTAAGTGGTGTTTTTTCGTTTTCCTAAAATTAATAAAAATATAAATACAGATTAAAATTGACATTGATTGTAAACAGAATAAATGAAATCAGGTAAAACAATATTAAAGACAAATACAATAGCTCACAAATGATTAAAGTCACTGTCAAAAAACTGCTCAATATCATAAAATGCATTTCTCAAAAGAAATTTTAAAAAAAAAAAATACCTATTTTTTCAAAAATTCTTTTTTTTTTTGAGTTGGGTGAAAAAATTTGAAAAAATTCTCGGTTTTCAATGGGGTAGAAATCAATAAAAAAATTTCAGTCAAATTGAAAGGGGTCAGGGTTAAAAGAGGTCGAGTTGGCGTGGAATGCCCCATATTTATTAAACTGATCTTATTATGGAAACAACTACTCCACATTGGAGCTATAAAATCATTTATAAGGACAGTCACCAAACATAGACCAGTTTGAAACTTATTACTTCTAGTCAGTAGGTGAGACAAATGATGATTGATTTAGCTTTGAATGTTTATCTACAGATATATCATATCTTTAAATATCATTGCTACTTTACGCTGACAAGAATTAATAATAATTTCGAAATCGGTCTATGTCTGCTGACTTTTCTGATAAATGGTCCTAGTTTTCACTAGATACTGAGGATATAACTCAATGGCAGTCTGCACATTTATAGGTTATAACTCACTGATAATCAAAATATGTCTATATATAGATAAACATCCAAATAGCTAAATTATTAGTTGGTCATCTTATTATAGCATAATGATGAGAGCTAAAAAGCTTGACACTGGTCTATGTCTAGTGACCCTCCTGATGAATGATCTTTTCTATTTAATAGATATTTTGGGGTGTAATTCAATTCTCAGTAGAGACTTATAGTTCATGGAGTAACAACTCTTTCTCACAATATCATCAGTTCAAAAAAGTTTATTTCATCTAGTGTAATACTAGTCATGTGTTTATAGCACCTACACAAGTCGCGACTCTTCGTATGAAGCAACTAAGACCGGGCCTCACTGTAAAATATGACTCTCACACCATATATTTTGATAACTACTATTCTACTATTAACCTAAATAAACAATAAGGTAAACTAATTTCCAGTTACCTATAACATTAATAAAAAATAAACAGTATAAAATAATTGTTTGAATATTGAATATCTCGCCGCCCATCATTTCCATCGACGCGACATTGGATACTGTTACTCTCCACTAGTCCCCACCACAGCGAGGCCAGAATTTCTTCGCTTGTAGGCGCGTCACACTTGCCTACAATATACTAGAGTTCCCCCTCCACGCGAGGTGGTTAAAATAACGTCCATACGCGGGGAAGTTAAGACCCATTTCTCATGCTTCTAGTCTCTCTCTCTCTATCTAGCTTACAGTTACAGTGTCAATTTCGCAGTACCCACGTAACGTCTAGATTGAGTGATCATAGTACAAAGTATAAAGACTTTAAGGACAAGGCAGGTATTAATTTAAAATAAATAAAAAACAACTTCCTTACAACAAAACAACTAATTAAGCATAATAATTAATAGATATTATATTATCGATATACATAGACAATAATGAATCCCGCTCATGATATTGTTTTATCTTTACTTGAAACACCTTCTTCAAGACCTAATGAAGTAAAGAAACAAATTTTCAATAATCGGCCAACACCAAAAATAACAGCAATTTTTAACGTAAATAGAAGTCGGGAAAGTTCGCAAAAATTTCAATATTCTTGGTATGATACTTACCAATGGCTATGTGGAAGTTCATATAAAAAAAAATTTGTAGCGCTGGCGATGTATTTTATTGGGTAATATAAAAAATTTGTGGTGTTCAAAAGATGATTTTAGAGACTTTTAGTGGTAGTACCAAAATGCACGAAGGTTCTACAGAGCACATTAAAAATTTTTTGGCTTTAAGGCGATAATAGCAAAATAGTAATTTTTTTAATTGTGTTACTACTGAAAAAGAGTCAAATTCATAATGAGAAATAGTTTCTTTTAAAATCAATGTCCCGCGATTTGTATCTTAGGTTACGTGACAGGGTAAATAGCTGCCGCTTTTGCTGTTCATGTTGGAACAGCTACAAAGCACAGACAAATATGAAAATTCTTTATAGGTTACACTTCAGCAATACTCCTAACATACTTAATTTGGAAACAAGCTAGTACTGTAAATTACTTTTCTTGGGAAATCATTGGAGAAATTAGTTGAATTATTCCGAACAAAAATTACTGTTTATTTTGTACTATATTTATGTTATACCGATACTTATTATATAATAAATAAAGATATTCACTTAAAAAATGGTTTGTTTTACTTTCGGGACTGAAGAGGTTAAGTTTGAAAAATGTCCGCAATGACTTATATATAAAAAATATGTGATATTTTTCTTTCTTTTTCTTGATATAATGTTAAATAATAGTCCAATTTACCTGACACAAATCTGTGTTTGGCTTAATGTAGTACATTTTCTGAAACTCAGGTGTATCAAAAATTCCATCCCCAAATTTAGAAAAATCTTCTGGGGGTAAGTTATTATTTGGTACATTATAAAAACAGTCTAGCACATAGGTCTGTAACGTTTCCATTGGTAATCTTGCCTACAAAAAAATGTATTTTACTGCTATAAAGGGTGGTTCAGATTTTAATCAGATTCGGATTATAAAACAAATTATTCTAAGCAAAAGGTTTCATACAATCGAGGGTCATAGAATGTTTCGTTTTAAATTATACATATATTTTCTCAAATATCAAAACAGATTGACATATATCAAAATTTTGAAAAATATATACATTGGAACCAGTCCATTTTCAAATACTCTATAATAGTAAAAAACTGATTCAAATTATTTAACCTTGTCTGCCATTCCTTATGACAAAATTTTATCAAAATATATAAGGTTAAAACCTAAAACATAAATCTCTAGGTACCCCTTTAGTGCCCAATATCTCCTAGTAGGTACATTAGACAAAAAAAGTTACAGGAAGTCCTAATATTATTTTGACCGTCTAAGACATTTTGAATGTCTTACGCTTCCGAGAGATTAGTAGATACTGACTGGATACCCTGTATATAAAATCTATCTATCCCTCAGAATATTTGAAGTAGACTGTCAGTGATACAGATATACAGGGTGTCCGGAAATTCATGCAACAAAATTTGGTCACAGATTCCTAAGACAAATTTAGGAGACCCGTATTTTTTATTTTTGCCAAGTGTCCCCCTTTTTCGGAGTTACAGCCCCCTGAAGTCCGCAACTAAGAATAATCTTTTTTTTATATCTGAGAACCCTGTTGTACGAGAATCACTAAATTTAGCACACAGAGGATTCATGACATGTGGAATCTGATGGTGTTACGTTTTTTGGCAAGGAACCCTCTTAAGACAATTTTTCGTGGGCCCCCTTGTCTTAGGAGCCAAAAAAATTTGGTTGCATATTTAAATTTCTTAAAAATTATCAGTACACTAAAAAGCCATTAAATTTAGAAACTTTTTGTCCCTTTATACTTTTTCCGTAAAACGCAATGTTTTCGAGAAAAACGTCAAAATGTGATCGAATGGATATCGTGATTCGCTATTTTCCTCAAGAACATTGCGTTTTACGAAACAAATATCAAGAGACAAAAAAGTTTCTAAATTCAATTGCTTTCTAGTTAACTAATAATTTAAAAAAAAATCAAATTTGCGACCAAATTTTTCTCGTTCCAAAGACAAGGGGCCCACGAAATAGTGTCTTAAGGGGGTTTCTCGACAAAAGGCGTAATACTGTGAGATTTAACATGTCATAAAACCTATGTGTACCAAATTTAGTGATTCTCGTACAACATGGTTTTGAGATACAAAAAAGACTTCTTAGGGGCAGATTTCAGGGAGCTGTAACTCCGAAAGAGGGGGCCAGTTGGCAAAAAGTAAAAATACGGGTCCCCTAAATTTGTCTTAATAATCTATGACCAAATTTTGTTGCATGAATTTCGGGACACCCTGTATTATTGGAGATAAAAATTTGCTTAGCCGGCTTACAAACACGTCAATCAGTGGCGGAAATTCAGAAAATCAGTGCCAATGAAAGCATCAATTTGGATTTTTATTTTAATTAAAGTAATATTTCTAAGAAAAAATATATTTTACATTTTATTCTACTAACCTTATGAAATCGAGTAAATTGAAAAAGATTCTAAAATTAATTGTTTCACAAAAAAAAATGTAGGTAATTTTTTTTACAAATATGTAATATGTCATGTCACAGATTCATAAAATAGAAATATGATTTTGTTGGTAGCTTATACTCTTAGAAAATACATACACAGTTCGACTGTTAAGTTTTAAGACTGATTTTATTGTGGCAAAGTGCTTAGCGCTATCTATGTGCGGTCAATGGAACTATGCAATGAGAAGACTTCCGAGCAGTATATGTGTATCTACCACATTTTATGTGAAGTGAGTTTTTGATAGTTGTCATGGAAAGGGACATTGAACAGCATACAATAATCAAGTTCTATTTTAAAATCGGTAAAACAGTCATGGAAACGTATCAACTGTTACAAACGGTGTACAATGAGGAGTGTGTATTACGTCCAACTGTATTCCTGTGGCTCGTGACGTTTTGTGAGGGTCGAGACAGCGTACATGACAATAATAGAACGGGGCATCAACACACAAGCCAAATGATCAAAAACATTGAAGCTTTGCTCTGTACAGAAGTGTGATCATCAATCAATGATCAGAATGTTGGCGGACAGTGTACACATCAATAAAGAGACCATCAAATAATCACCAGGGATTTGAGCAAAAAAAAGGTTTGTGCCTGCTTTGTACCGCATTCTTCGATGACTAAGCAGAAGGAAAACTGTGTAGCCTCGTGTTCGGATTTGCTCAAATCACATAGTAACAATCTTGAATTTAAAAAAAAAAATCGTTACCAGTGATGAATCGCGATGCTTTGCTAAAAAAAAGACTAAAAGACAGAATGCTGAATGGACGGGCCAAGGGTCTCCAAAACCGAAGGCTCAATTTCCAAAAAATCAGATGTGAAAACCATGTTCGTTATTTTTTCGACTGTCAGAGCATAAACCATAATTTGTTCTACCAGGCAGAAGGTCAATGCTGAGTTTTAGAAAGATGTGTTGGATCATTTGTTGAAGAGAGCGTGAGTTCACCCAGAATTGTAGGCGTCCATGGACTAGGTTCTGTTATACTATAACATGCCAGCCCATAATGCTGTCATTGTTCGACAGTTTCTGACTCGAAAAAATGTTAGTGTTTCACCACTCACCATATTCACCGGATTTGGCTCCGGCTGACTATTTTTTATTCCAAAAAATTAAATTACATATAAAAGGCCGTCTTTTTGACGATATTCTAACGATTTAAAAGGTTATGATGAAGGAGCTGAAAGAAGTACCAGAAGACTTCGATAAATGCACGCAACAAATGACAGATCGTGCCTAACGCTATATTGATGTGCGAGAGGCGTACATAGATAAATTTAAAAATTTTTACATTCAGACTATTTACCTTTATTTTCTGGCTACAGTCTTAAAACTCAATAACCCATCTGTGTAAGCACAATACATTGTTTTTGTAGATGAAATAGTTTTAGTTAGTATCAATTTATTCTGTATGGTAAGCTCAGTTTAAAATAAAAAAAAGATTAGAACTGTAAAATGGTTTGTTCTTCGAACAAAATGGGAGACATTTTTTTCAAAGAAATGTCATTGATAATAAAAAGTACTAAATGAGATGGCATCAAAATTCTCCCACCCGCTGACATATGTGTAAATCAACTAAGCAAATTTTTGCTGCCAACAAGGTAAATCAGTGGTTCAAGTTTCATCAGTGCACGTTAAACATCCTCAAAAAAATTTGAGAATATATATTTTTATCTAATTTTATATGAAATTTGTGTGCTTTAAATAATTTATTCTACCACTTTACTGAATTTCCTTATATAATTAAAAAATAATTTGTTGTTACCTGTATAGCAAGGGTCATTCTATGTGCAGAATAGTGTCGTTTTCTAAATTCATGCACTCCTTCGTAGAGCTTGTCATCTGATATATTATCCCTTAATGTTTTCAAATTCCCCCATCCAAAAGAATTCACAGGCGAATTAGGGTTCGCCAAACTACAGAGCAATTGCTCTTTGGGCATATCATCAGAAGGAAGGGCCATCTGAAATTCTATAAAGAACACATTAACAACATTACAATTTTCAATAGACATCGCATAAAAGACATTTACCAGAATCGATAGCTTCCCTTTCCCTTCCCATGGCTTCTTTTTTCATCAAAGGAGAAATAAAAAATTGAGCAAATTTATCTAATGCTTCATACAAATGTTTCTCAAGACACTCAAAGTAAAAGCAAGTTGTCTCAGCATCTGTTGAGGCGTTATCACTGCCACCTCCTTTCTGAAATAGACAAACTTCATAACTTGTCTTTTATAGTGATTAGCGATGTCAACATTATCACTGGCAACATATATCATATAACAAAATAACATTTCGCAGTGACATGCCCAAATTCATGTTACATTAAAAAGATTACGTAGTTCGTACATAAGACTATATCATATTTATAAGTTATAAGTTTCACTTAGTATAAAATCTTTTCATGTTATAAACATTAAAATATA